GGAACTTTACGCAGCACCTACAATTATGATGCCTACCTGACCACAGGATCTAGAACCAGTGACTTTAAGTTTGTATCATCCTACAATGACAACACGCTGCCTTCTGACCAGACTCTGAAGAAAAGTCCAACGGAATTTTCAGATGTATTCGGATTAAATGATTCCTCTCCTCAGGTAGGAATCCATTCTGCTGTCTTTGAGATTGTGGTTTAAGAGCAACCTGATATTGATCAATATTTCTTTGTTTCTTCCAATATTAAAACTTATCATTATTTTTTTAAAAAGCTGTCCGTATATTATCGCGTTGAGTTTCATAATACATAAAATATATTTTATTTAAATTCTAACTCTAGAAATAAGTGCGCTTTTTGTTCTTTTGTATTCCATCCGTGTTTCGTTTTTTCATCTGCGTTTGTCCAGTTTTTTCCTTAAAATGGTTTAGCTTTCATGTTCTGACTGACGTATTTTCACTTGTTGCTGAAATACGGTTTGGCTTTACTTAGGTTCTGGTCAAAACATCTGGTCTTTCTTTGTATTTTGCATTGTTTTTTTTTTCTGAACATATTCAACTGGATTTAGTTTTAACTCGATTGTTAGAGAAACTGTGTGTCCAATATTAACATCAATTTTAAAAATACAGTTCTTTTGGGAAGTTCCATCACACATAGTATTGCCTTACTATGCTCTTAACTGTCTACCATTGAAGTTATTAAATATATTGTATGATTTGTAGAACATATATTAGGCATACCCGCTTTTTGGCGAACGATTTAACGTAACTACACGAATGGAATGCGTGTTTTATTACATTCGGTCCTTTAAGATCCCTCTTTCATGTTGCTAATTAAGACAGCACTTTGCTCCAGTGTCATATTATAAAAAAACTCCTATTTTGCTAGTGGACATTTGTGCCAGCTCTTGATTTTTGCAGTAGAGTAAAAGCTTTTTCGATGCGTTTCTCTGTCCTTGGTTGTGAAAAAAAAAAAAAAAAAAAAAAAAAACACCTTTTTTTTTCCTTTTGCTTTTCCNTTTTGTGCCCGCTTTTTTTTTTTGCGTAAGAGAAAAATTTTTTTCTGTTGGTTTTTTTTCCCTTGGTTGGAAAAAAAAAAAAAAAAAAAAAAAAAAAAACGCTATTTCTTCTCTTTACGTTTGTACCTTCGCACATACGCAACATGATTCTACGATAGAAACATTTCATAATAATTTGCGTTCCGGGGAATAATGCTGCATATTCAGCAATGTCTGCTTATCCCAAATTGCTTAATAATATAAAACATTACATTCGTCATGGTAATTTATTTCGCGTCCCGTTGGCTTTAGATTCGAAATTAACAAATTTTTCTTATATGCATGCGCACAAATGCTAATACACAAGTTTATTTTTTATTGTGCTTCTGTTTGATTTCCTTGATTCGACTTTCCTGAATTTATAGAATGATGAACAAAAATTATAATTTTTTTTTGGTTCATGAGAAAAAAAAAAAAGAAAAACAGAAATACGATCTGTAACGAGAAAATAAATGAAATAATACCGATAATTATTTTAGGCTAAAAACATTAAGAGATTTAAAATAAGACTTTTCGGTGAATTGGTTTATAACGAAAACAATAATAATTGCAATTATTTTTTTTCAATACAATTATAACATTTTTGCAACACAGAATGAATTAATTTTACAGTTTGAAATTAAAAATGTTGGAATATGTGATAACTCTTCAAAATAATATCCACTGTTTTTGATGAGACGTTGTAATATCATTTAAACTCACGGTGTCACTATAGACCCGTTTTGGATTTAAATGTTCTTCAACTGCTTTTGCACACCACACATCGTCGGGCTGGACCTATCTTTTATAATACGTGAATCTGAGGACAAGCGCGGTAGAGAACCTTATTAGGAAATACATTAACCCTCATTCAAAGAAGACGTAGCTTTTGTAGACCAACTTGAAGACGATGCATAAACGACGGTATCTAGAATGGCACGGCCTTATTTTTTTCTTTGTTCTGCTGCAATACTCCCATTGCGATCTGACCTATTCCGTCCAGGAGGAACTGAAACGCGGATCTGTCATTGGAAATATCGCTCAAGATCTGAAGCTGGACTTGGGAAGACTATATGCTCGTAAAATACGGGTCAAGGTTGAAGGAAGCGAAAAAGAGATAATCGGAATTAATCTGAGAAACGGAGATTTATTTGTCACGGGAAGAATAGACAGAGAGGAACAGTGTGGAGAAAACCCAACGTGTATTCTGAAATACGACCTCCTTATGGAAAATCCTCTCGAACTACATCGCTTGTCTCTGCAAGTACTAGACATAAATGACAATCAACCGATCTTTCCAAAGGATATTTTTAAGCTGGAAATCAGGGAGTCAACCGACAAAGGAGCTAGGTATCGCATTAATGCTGCGCACGATGCTGACATAGGCCAGAACACTGTTCAAAGCTACATCCTGCAGCAAAACCCCAATTTTGTGCTTAACATTCAGACGAGCCCTGGGAGAAAATATGGTGAGCTGGTTTTAGATAAAGAGTT